GCTATCCGTGTGTTAACATAGACTTTACGACAGACTATTGCTATCCGTTTGATAACAAAGTAATTTTCTGCAGATTTCGACAAAAATATTATTTTTACGCTAAATAAGCAAAAACTGCGTGTTTTCGACACCGATTTAAATATTACATATGAAAATCATATAAAGTATTATATATTAGAAAATCTATATTCAGTTTGCGTTTAGTGTCGAGTGTTTTTGTATATTTTGTGACTAAAAATTTGTTCAACACTTTTGAGTCCAAAATATATATATGTTTAGTTGAATTAAAACTTTTGCAAACATGAATAAAGTTTTGATTTTATACTTATTTTGCAGACTTTTGTCTCTTTCGTCGGCCATATATGTCCGGTAAATATGATTTAAAATTTAAACATCAAATTTATATTAACTAAAAATAACTGAAATGTAAAATAAATAAACCGAAAAGTCTTTGTAATACTACGAGAAATAGCATATAATTTGAAAGTCTCTACATTAGTTGAACTAAAATTCTTGATTCTAAACATTTCTGTTAATTCTTAACAGCGATTCCGGTCCGGAATCTGTTGGCGAAGTGCATAGTCTGTCGAATAACTCCTTTTATGTGATAACAACACCAAAAGTATGGATGAGTTCCGAGGAGTCGGTATGTCTGGTGCTGTTGAGGGACATGTCGTTCGCAGACAATCCTGTCGTGAATGTGAAGATCTCGTCCATAAACAAGCGACAGATATTCACTCATAAATCAATGCCATTGCGATCATGTAATGTATATTATTATTTGTGCTGTTGAGGGACATGTCGTTCGCAGACAATCCTGTCGTGAATGTGAAGATCTCGTCCATAAACAAGCGACAGATATTCACTCATAAATCAATGCCATTGCGATCATGTAATGTATATTATTATTTAAAAATCACTCATTATAATGAATATAGAATCTGATTATATGCTAGAATATAGAGAATTATGCTCAAGTATATCTTAGAAATACTATAAAGTTAATTAGAAAGCAAAATTAAATTATGAATATAGTCAAGATTTATAATCCAATAGCTTTTTATTGATCAGATAAATTTAAAGCAATATAAGTTTGCAATTTTTCGTATTGTAATGTGTTGTACTGTATAATACAGTATAATAAGGGTTGCATTAACGTATGAATACTATTTATACCCAGCATAATTAAGGTGAAGGTATAATTTAATTAAGATTTCATGATCCATAGAAAATATTCCCTCTATTCATGACTAAAACTACTGAACAATATATACGGCAAACAAAAGCCATAAACAAAAACGTCTATTCACTCACTAGTTTCGCCTTATATACCAGTATTTAATTAAATATATTTTTGATAATTAATTTTCATGTTGACTGTCACACATGCCTTTCCCCTAAATCCCTGCCAACACAGCTTCGCAATGCATACGACTGCCAATCGATGAGATTAGGGCCGACAGGGCTTTAGTGTCGGTGCGAATGGCAGACCTAATTGACGAGACACTTGACATACGGGTTAAGCCCTCTCAGGGACTGACACTAATTGAGACGTCAAAGCCTGTGTACCGGCCCCGCGAGAAGCTCCAGTTCCGCGTCATTACCTTAAATGACTGGTTGCGACCCATCGACGGCCAGTTGGCTGTGGTGTCGGTCATTAACTCAAGGAATATGCCGGTCATGCAGTGGACAGACGTCACGATCACCAATGGTATGATAGGGTTGGATATGCCGTTGGCTGAGGATAACTACTACGGCTTATGGAAGATACAGGTGTCCAACACCAAGAATATTCTGGCTGAAAAATTCTTTAAAGTTCTCGATTACGGTATTTATTACGGCATAAATTTATACAGTTTATTATTGAGAATCTTATATAATATAAACAAGGATATTTTTAAAGAATTTTACATTAGCTTATTAGTTAGGATTTTATTTGTAGAATTTGTATGTTAATGGGCTATTAAGTAGTATTATATGATTTCCCGGTTCCTGGAATTATTACTAATTTATACAAAAGTAATACTAATAGTTAAGTAATACTTATGTAATAATTAAGTGAAATATTTATAGCATGGCAATAGCATTATGTTGTGTATGCCAAGGGATATATTTTGCAAACAATACTCCATTTAATGATCAATAATTCAAAGTCTAGACATCGGTTTATGTGCAAGAACACATATATAAAATAAAATTATAAATACTTTAATATTATCATTAAAGACATAAAAACTAAAAATAAAATTTTAAAATTAAAATAAATTTATTTTGTGTGTGTAGTTTAAAACACAAATCACAATTTAATATTATAGACAACTTTATTTACATTAAAAAATAATTAATATTAAATATTACAGTATAAATATTAGTAATTTTAATTTATTAATAAATATTTATTAAACTATAATTTATTCCCCGAAAAGAGACCCCGAATATAATGATATCAATGGACCAATCGGTCGATTATATCCACTCGACTGACGCCCAGTGGGCGCAGAAAGTGTGCGTTCGGGACAGTTATGGACAGCCGTTAATCGGAAAGTTGAAAGTATTTGCCAGTTATTTCAAGTTTGATTGGGAACGGCATCATATGCTGCAACACATGATGCAGTACTCTCCCTACACTCTCAATGAAGTACAGGTGCGATATGGTTATATGGATTTGAATCATAAAAATATAGATCACAGAATATTCTTATAATTCAACTCGAAAATTGAGTTGTAATCCCCAGAAAACAAATACTATTACAGAATATTCTGTGCAAACAAACAGAACAACACTTTATATCTCAAAAACTCTATTTAAAAATCTATTTATAGCTCAACGGCTGCTACGATATGGTTCTCAACGCGTCGACACTTCAGTGGAATTCCGGTCAGAATTCTCAACGGAATCTTCAGCTTAGCCTTCAATTTGTAGACCAAACTAACGGTGCCGTAGAAGAGAAATACACGGAAATACCGATCGTGGACAAGGAGCTCATGATCAGCTACCCGTCCCTTAGGCTCCAGAAGCAGTACTTCAAGCCGGGAATGCCTTACTTTGGACACGTGATGATCATGAAACCTGACTATCAGCCGGCGCTCGACGAACAAGTCTCTTGGAGCTCATGATCAGCTACCCGTCCCTTAGGCTCCAGAAGCAGTACTTCAAGCCGGGAATGCCTTACTTTGGACACGTGATGATCATGAAACCTGACTATCAGCCGGCGCTCGACGAACAAGTCTCTGTGTGCTACCAGAGCCGTGAGATTCCGTGGGTGATCAGGGAGGGTGACTACGTGTGCCAGCAAATGAGCGCCGACAGCACCGGTATGGTTGAGTTCATAATACCGCCGATGACTGAGTCGATCAAACAGATGGAAATCCGGGTCCAGTCCGTGAAATACCCGTCCGTTACGAGAGCGATGATGTTGGAGCCCACCTATAGC